CCGATGGGAGCGACTCAGGAACTGGGGTGCGGCTGTGACCGCGTGGGTCTCAGTCAGGAGGGGCACCCCAGGCCTGCGAGGGCCACGGCCCACAGTCAGCCTCCTGTGTGCTCCAGCCTGCCCAGTGAACAGAGAGAGGCCCAAGCGAGAAGCCACTCGAAGGGAATTAGGCGGCTTGCCGGCCGACCCCACGTGTGGGCCTGTGACCGCGGGGTCCATTTTCCTGTTCCTTGCCAGTCGTGGGCCTCGTGGCTGTGGGCTCCTGTGGATCTCTCCGCGAGGGTCGTAGCTGTGTATAAACTCAAGGTCAGCAAGCCGAACGCTCAAGGTCACTCGAGTTGCACAGCGCTGTCCCGGAGCGTAAGCGAGGTCACATTTGGGTGAAGGCACCGTCATGCCGGTGCTTACACACCGTACGAGACCCTTTCCCGCACCTCCTCGTCCAGCCGAGGGAAGACCGGCTGGCCCACGTCCCTCCGTGCTCGGGGCCCCCGCCCTGCGCTGCTGAGCTCGGAGGACACTGTCACTGAGTGGTGCCTCTGTCGGTCGGCGTCGCGGATGGGCCCGCGGCCCCTGCTCTGTCACCCTGGTCCCCGTCATCTCGCCCAGCGAGGTTCTGCACTGATTCTCGCCTTCCCAGGGTCGCAACCAGGAAGCCTTCGCGCGTCATCGGGCCCGTCTCCGGGTAGTTCACTTGGCATCGCCAGTTATCCTTGGCTCAGGGAAAATGCCGTTCGTAGATGCCGCGGCTCCGCCTTTTAAACTCACCTAACGGGACGTTACTGCAGGACGAGGTTCCCGGAGATGGCGGTGTTCGCCGCCGCCGGTGGGGCTTTCCCGTCCTGTCTGACGCGGACCCTACATAAGTCCAGAAATCAATGGAGGGCGAGAAGAGCAGGTCTGGCGGCTGGCCCTGCCCTGCCTCGTGGGGGCGAACGCGGAACCCGCCAGCCACACTCCCCGGGGATGTTCCTGGCCGGCCCCTCGTGCAGACGTCGCCCGAGGTCGGGGGTAGCACCTTCGTGTGTCACCATGGGGACTGCAATTGGCTGTCGGGCAGAGATGGCACTTTCAAAACAAAGAATGTGGCAGCACCGTGCGGCCGGCCGGGGGAGGGCCAGGAACCTTGCGCCGGCCTCCGTGACACGCTCGCGGCCGAGAGCTGAGCTCAGGTCGGTCCGCAGAACGCAGGGCGGAAACGTCTTCCCGAAGCTCTTAACCCGGGGTCCAGGCCCTGGAATGAGCCTGTCCGGCCACGTTCCCTCCGACCGCACAGCTCAGGTCAGCGGTCCGAGGCAGCAGAGAAGGAGCCCAGGGCCGCAGGAGTGGCACAGGGGACACCGCCCCGGAGCCCGGCCCACAGACGCCCCAACGCGCACTGTGAAGCCTCTCGCCCCTGGGCCAGTCCCACGGAAGCCAGAGCTCGCAGCCCCCGGCCGCAGTGGCCACGTCGCTGGATGTACACGGAGCCTGTGGGGCCCTCGCACGCCGCAGGAGCCACAGCCTGACAAGTGTCCCCAGCCAGATGGTGGCCTCGCTGTCCACGTCGGACCAGCGTGCTGGGAGGCAGCCAGACGAGGATTCAAGGCGCGAACGTTGGCAGCGGGCAGCCAGGACGACGTGGACAGTCACTCTCCTCCCTGCCTTCCCGTCCCCGCTCCCGGCCAGGGTCCCTGTCACCTCTCCTGGCTCCCCAGCCTGCAGATCTGCAGCGTCACCTGTCACCCTGACCAATCCCCTCCGATCCCATGAAAGGCTTAACATCATCGCTTTCTCTCGTGACCATTCGGCCCCGGGCGGGACTGTGCCCTGGGAGGTCAGGGCCCCCGAGTCTGTCCCTGGCATCCGGCACAGTGACACCAGTATGTGCTCAGGCCCAGGTGTCGGATCAGCGAATCGGAAGCTGACAGTCACCTGGTGTGAGTGGCTCGTTCTCGGAGCCGGGGCGACCTCGTTCGGTCCTCCCAGGGGATGCGAGGTCATCGCCGTCCTGCCGCACGGCGGAAGCGGAGGCCAGGGCCCGGGTGGCCGGCGAGCGTCCCGGAGCCGTCTCGTCACGGCGCTGGCCTCGGTCCCTCTGAGACGCGGGTGTTTTCCGGGTCCTGTCACGACAAGTCTTCATGGCGCGGTGGCACGTGTTCTGGGCAGCTCGTGGCGGCGTCTGGGCCCCTCACTGCCCTCGGAGGAGCTGGGACACCGTTCGCGGGGCCCAGGGCAGCCGTGCTGTGGCCGCTTCGCGTGTGCTGCACCATCCATCCGCTCGCGTCCGGATCTCGCGAGTCCTGGGCTGTGGGACCCTCAGGCTCCCCGCACAGTGGCCCCCACCCCGGGAACCCCGCCCACCAAGCCCCTGCAGAGCCCTGGGTCGTCACGGCCCCATGTCCCTCGCTCAGTCGTCTGTGAAGCTGCTGCAGAGGGCCCCCCACCCAGGGGTCCCCACGGCCCGGAGCCCCCTCCGCGGGGAGCACCGTGCTCTGCCCTGGGGATCCCGCTCGACCCCGCGGCTGCACAGACCTCCACGCGGCCCTCTCCCCACACGCAGGCGAAGCCCCGGGGCGTAGACCGCGTGACCTGCCCAGGTCCGCGTGCGGTCTGGCGGTGCGGGCCCAGCGCGCACACTGCCCTCGGGGACCCTGTCCCCACCGCGGGCACCGGGGTGTCCGTCACTCACCTGGGGCCCTGCTTCTCGTGAACGAACCTCCGGCAGCTCCCACAGAGGACACGTGTGAGCTCCCTTGCCCACGCGGGCGTGTTTGCACGCGGGTCCCGCGTGGCACCACGGACGTGCCTGCAGGGACACCGCTGTGCGTCCCAGGGAGGGAGGGAGGGTGCTCGGCTCCCAGGCCGGCCCCGTCCCTGACCTTGCCCCGTGTCCCAGCCTCTTTGGGCTTTGAAGATTTTGAGGAAACTGGGGTATGATTTTAAACGAACTCGGTGAAAAGCGCCTGTAAGCTGCAGCCTGCAGGGGCGGGAAGGGCGGCCGGGAGATGCTCCGCGCCTGGGCCGCGCGGCCCACGGTCGTCCCCACCGCCAGCGCCCGTCACCCTGCTGCGGGCGCTCGCGTGAGTCCCTCTGGGGCTGCGTCACGCCCGCCGTCTTCGGCCGTGGCACTGGCAGCCGAGGGCCTCGGATGGGGTTGCGGGTGGTGCACACGGCGCTATGGCCTCCCCTGGGTGCCACCGAGAGGGACGGAGGGACGCAGGGCACCGGCGGCTCACCACGCCCCTCCGCTCCAGCTCGGAGCCTCCGTGAACTTTCCCCTGATGCTGTTTGTTCCGCCGGCCCTGGCGACTGGGGCAGTGTCACCGGGCGAGAGGCTGCGTCGCAGCCATCAGGACACTTCCAGGTGGCGTCTCGTCGGGGGCAGAGGGAGCGGTGGGTGACGGTAGCTGGCGGCCTCACATCGGAGCGGGGTCTGCAGGCCCAGCACAGCCGCCTCCTCCCGCCGTGGCGTGTGGGGGTCTCGCCAGAGACGCTCAGAGGCCGAGCGACGCTCCACTGGGAGCTTTGGCGCCAGCTGACGGCCAAGAAGAGCAGCCCTTCCCGCTAACGGGGGTCTCCCTGTCCGCGTGCTCCCGAGCCTTCGCCCGAGTGGGCTTTCATGTTCGCTGTTGTTTCGGGGCGAGGAAAGAACCGGATGGGCTTTTCCCTGAGCCCCCGACAGTGGCAGCCGCGTCTGCGTTTCAGTCCTCAATGGGGCTCCCCGCCCCCCCAAGGCCCGTGCTTTAACGCGGACGTGGGGGGCCCCAGCGGGCCGCACGAGGCTGACCGAGGGCTGTGCTGGTCAGGCCCCCCCGCGGCCAGGGCCCCTTTCCCGAGTCCACGTGTGCGACGGTGTGTGCGCTATGTATGTGTGGCGTGTGTGTCTGGCGTGCGTGTCTGGCACGTGTCTGGCGTGCGTGTCTGGCACGTGTCTGGCATGCGTGTCTATGGCGTGCGTGTCTGCGGCGTGGACATGTGGACCCTCGCAGCACACGTGTCTGGCCGCAGGGTGCACCGTGGCTCGCAGGACGGGCAGGGGTGGCGAGCCCCAGCACTGACGCCTCTGTCCCTGCCCGCAGGAGCTGTGCCGGCAGCGCATGGCCACGCGCCCGTCCGAGCGCCCGGAGGCCCCTCGGGCATCCCGTGTCAGCAGCGTGTCCTCGCAGCTCAGCGACGGGCCGACGCCCAGCCCCCCTGCACGGGGCAGCACCTCGTCCTGGTCCGAGGAGCCAGCTCCGCCCAGCATGGACATCTCCACCGGCCACATGGTCCTGGTAAGTCCGGGTCCTCACAGTCTCGAGCCGTCGACAACGGTGGCCTGGGGACCAGACCCGAGATGCCAGGCAGCTGACATGCAGGGCAGGAACCCGCACACCAGGGCCGCTGTGCTCTGGGTCCTCATGTGGCTGTGACAGCGTGGTCCCCTCTGTCACCGCCATCCCTACCCCTGCTCCGGTGCCACTGGCTGGCGACAGTTCTCGGTGGCGGGAACGTGTGTCATTAGAGCCTACTATGTGCTCGTTCTTAACCCCAGCTCCTGAAGGTCACTGGTCCCTCGACCGTGGTTTCCCGGTGGGTGAGCAAATGTCACCCGAGGGTGTCTTGGCTCCGTGGGAGGAGGCGGGGCGGGCACTCGACCCCTCGTGGGACGCCTGGCGGTGACCTGGCTGGACCCTGCTGCCCAGCCCACCCTCCCCGGCCAAGTGTCATGCTCGGGGGGACGGTGCACGGAGAGACTGTGCCCAGCTCCGACGCCTCAGTCACGGCCGAGGGTCCTCAGCGACGTTGGCACCTGGCTGCCCCCACGGCCCAGCGACCCCGTGTGCCACCTCGGGCCGTGGGCACCATCCTGCTGGCGCATGTCAGCTGAAGCGCAGAGCACACGGCCGTCGCCTCCCCGGGGCACGGAGGCCGAGCCCCCTCACTGCGCGGGTCGGGCGCCCGAGGCGCGTGTGGTCAGCCACGAGCGCTCGCTAAGGGCTGTTCCTGGGCCCGCCTCCTGCCTGTGGCTTTAGCCGTGCAGCCTGGGGTCACGCACGCCCCAGAAGCCGGTGGGGGGCGCCGGGGCTGCTGCGACAGACGCCACAGACCGGGGTCTCAGGCAACGGACGCCGTTTCTCATGGTTCTCGGGGCTGCTGAGGGCCGCCCTGCGTCCTCACGTGGTGGAGGGACTCTCTGGGATCCCCATTCCTCAGGCCCCCTCATGCCCCAGTCACCTCCCAGGGGCCCCACCTTCTTACACCGTCGCACGACGGCAAGGGTTCTGGAGTAAGAATTTGGGGACACACAGGTTCATCCCGTAGCAGCCAGGAATCCATGTTTTCGCCGAGAAGCCTGACGGGGGGCAGGGGGCCTAGGGACGCCCCGAGGCTGCGACAGGGCTGGTGCCCCCCGGGGCGGCCGCCTTGGACGCTCGAGTCCCGCAGGACAGGGAGCTCATGAAGCCGGGCCCACCTGGACCAGCCGTGGCGGTGACCCCTGACCCCGGAGATGACGGACAACGCAGCAGAAGCCACGGAGCTCAAGTTCACTGACCAAAGGGCCGCAAGCGACACGGCCCGGTGCCTTCTTCGCTCTCTGTCCAACCTCGGGGCCAGCCCGGCATGCGAGGACGCCCCGGACTCAGGTCGGCCACCCCAGCGCCCTTGCGGGCGGCACAGACGCGGCAGACGGCGGAGCCCCCGCACTCGGCGGCCGACAGCACCACGTCACTGCCAGCCTGACCCCCAGAGTGTCTTGACCGTCGTCCCTCTGAGAAGACGCGGTGCCACCCCAAGTTCAGGGCGTGAACGGGATGTGGCGCTGGGGCCGAACGCGTGTCTGGCAGGCCGGCTCGGGGACATTCGCAGAGAGCTTTTGTCGGGTTCTGACGCACTCGTGTTTCTGGACACGAGGTCAGAATGTCACGGAACCTCGATTCCCACCGGGACGTGGGACGCCGTCGTTCGTGGAAAGCTGGTTTGCCGTTCGCAGTGTGAGCGCAGACGCTGGGAGCCTGCGCCGCACGCGCCCACGCGGACGCGG